TCCAATCAGAGCACAGCCAAGCTCCTTAACCAATCAGAACACACCTCCACCCAATCAGAACACAGCCAAGCTCCCACCCAATCAGCTCAAGCCCCACTGGCAGTTAAAAGGAAGAAACAGCTGCGATCACACACACTACGCCCAGAAGCACGAAGCAGAAGACACCAGCCTGAAGATGACGAATGTGACTTCGTCGAAATGTCGCCAAGAAACTTCTAATCCTACGCGGGAGAAAACCCGAATAACTAAAGACCTATATATATATATATATATACACATACATACATACATACATACATACATACATACATATACATATACATATACATATACATATACATATACATATACATATACATATATAAAATCTCTTTTGCCTTGCAGCCCCCCAAGTAGGGGCGTTAAGCAGGCTCACGTCGTGGCCTGGTGGTTAATATAGCTATTTTGGACTCATTAGTCCTCAGCAGCTAGCCACACCCTTTATGGGATTCGAACCTGGGCAGTCTACATGCTAGACCAGTGGTTCTCAACCTGTGGGTCAGGACCCCATTTGGGGTTGATCGACCATTTCATGGGGGTCGCCAAGCAAGGCTGTCCGCCATTTTTTTTGTCTGCCATTTTTTTGTCTGCCATTTTTTCCCCTTTTCCAGCGGGTGCCTTACCTCCCTTGGGCTGGGCCAGCTGGTGGTCGGCCTGCTCCGGCTCTGCCGCTTGCCAGCTATGCCTCGGCCAGCGCAGGGGTCGGAACCACGCATGCGCGGCGCTCCCGGGCAGGGAAAGCCCTCGACTTATGACCGGTTGGGTAGTCCTCGACTTACGACCGGTTTAGTCCTCGACTTATGACCGGTTGGGGTTGCGGCATTAAAAAGGTTGAGAACCACTGTGCTAGACAGTTGTATTAACCACCAGGCCACTGGTTAATACAACTGCCTAGCATGTAGACTGCCCAGGTTCGAATCCCATAAAGGGTGTGGCTAGCTGATGAGGACTAATGAGTCCGAAATAGCTATACTAGTCTCCCACTTAAATCTTTAACTCTTTGTCACCAAAAAGAAATCTGAATCTGAATATATATATATATATCTTATATATCTATCTATCTACCGTATATAAATAAAAATGTAAATGTTCGTTTGTTCAAAATCTTAAATCTCCGAAGGTTCTTCACCGATTGCTTTGAAATTTTGACACAACGTTGCATTCGAATACGCACGTGTTTTTATATACCTACTATTATATAGATGTCACACCTGTGAGAGGTAAAAACATGCTTTTTTTGAATCTTTCCCAACCTTCTATCGTTTGTCAGAAAAAATAGCCTGGGTATTAAGAACCATTGTATTGCAATATGTTGTGACTCTTTTTAAGGATCTTTTGATCATATTTTAAAACTTAATATACTTTCCTTCCAGGTCGAATACATGAAGCTATGGTAACATCTCTAAATGAGGATAATGAAAGTGTTACTGTAGAATGGATTGAAAATGGTGATACTAAAGGAAAAGAGGTATGTCTTTTTAACCATCTAAATGTTATGAAAAATGAAATTTTTCAAACACAAATACAGTATCATTTTGTAGATATATTAAAGTTGTGTAATATGAATTGCGTTCCATGAAAACTGTAACAGTACGGTTCAATGGTATTATGTATGCTTTTTAAAAATCAGTCTGATGGAAGAAATAATTAAAATTTCATCACCAATTGAATTTGCAGGAAATAGCTTGACCCAATACAGGTGGTCCTTTATTTCTGTTGCTAAGCAACTTTGCCTTTACTTGCCAGAAAGTTGCAAAGGATAGGATATTGCAACAGTCATAAACAAGAGTCAGTTGCCAAGTGCCTGAATTTTGATTACCTGTCCATGGAGATGCTGCATCGGTCATAAGTTTTGAAAATAGTCATAAGTCACACTTTTCAGTGCCGTTGTAACTTTGAACGGTCACTAAATGAACTGCTGTAAATTGAGAACCACTTACCACTTATTAGTATGGTTCTTTTTTGATTATCTGAAATGTCCTTTACTTTTATTCAAGGAAAAAGATCTGGAACCTGTTGGGAAGAAATATAGTTCCCTGTATTAGCAAGATAAATAGTCATTTGTTTGAGTAGAAAAGCACTATATCAATTAAATAAAAAGGAAATAGAGCAGTTAGAGTTATATCAGGCAGTGTTATATCTCTGATGAGACTATGATGATCAAGAATGTGGCAGAAGACAGCAGTATTCCCTAAAAATTCAGAATTGAATTTTTGCTCAGAATTGAGCAAAAGAGGATTAAAGCACTTTCTTTTCTATGTCAGTAAAGAATGTCAGCAATGCATTTTGCCCTAATTTGTTAAGTTCTGCTGTTTTTAGAAAAAATGAAGACCTTTATGCCTCATGATTGAACCAAAATAAAACAAACTTTAATTTTGGTGGCAATATTATATAAGATTTGTTTGTTGAGAAAAGGCAAGTAGATATTTCAATATATTTATTTTAAACTATTTTTTCTTTTAAAAGATTGACTTGGAGAGTATATTTTCGCTTAACCCAGACCTAGCTCCTGAAGAAGATGATCCTAGCCCAGAGACTCCTCCACCTCCCACACCTTCAGCAAAAGTAAATAAAATTGTGAAGGTTGGTAATGTATTATAATATTTATTCAGTTGAAGTCACTGTTCTTCATTGTGCCTATTGGTTTATGATGTTTAGAATTGAAAATTTAACAATGTTCTGCTTTTTTAAAAATAAATGTTAAAAGACAATGAAATAAGATTTCTTTAACTGGACTTGTTACTTTTTTCTTTGTTCAGCCAATGTTCTTTTTACCTAGATGCATTCATTAAAGACAGCTTGTGTGTGGCTGTGTGTGTATGTGTGCAAGAAGTTTTCTGCAGAGAAAAAATATACAAATTTTAAATTAAACATAAAAATAGAGAAAAGTTAATAGCAATGTGAAAAAGAAATAAGGAAAAAAAATTAAAAGTAAATAGAAAACAAAATAAAGGAGTGGCTTCCAATCTTCTTAACAGCAGTTATAAATATTTTACACTTTATTTTCTCTAAGGTTACATCAAAATTTTATTTTCATATATCTACCCTTTCTAATCAAATCCATAAATCATCTTTTTGTTTAATTTTATTTTCTTTCCTTTATTCCAATAATTAAATGTAGTTGATCTTTTTCTAAAAAAACAAGCTACTTTTACCACCACTGCTTGTTTCATCATTTTCACTAATTATCTCTCTGTTATAGGTTTTTCAGAATTTTTCCATTTTTGGGCATCTATTTCTCTTACAATAGTGATTATATATAAAAATAATCTTACATGACTTTTTTCTAGTTGTATGCCTGTGAATCCAAATAAAAAGTTGTAGTTTCAGTTTAAACTTTGAACATGTTTGTATCAGTATATGTATTTGAATCCAAATTTTTTAGTCCATCATGCATGATAAAATGACCCTTCATGTTATTCACATTACCAACATAAATTTGAAGTACCTTTTTGTTTTGTTTTTTTTGTAATATATTTTATTAATTTTTTAACATGATCACCTTAATATTCTGTAAACAATGTGTTGTCTGTGTTTACATTTAAAAAACATTCGCTAACTATTGGTTTCTATGATCTATAATCCACATAACTTTACTTGATTTCCTCTTTTTCCCATAATGTTCTCTTTTACCAATCTTAAGTTAATACAATTCTTATTGTTTTGATAAATAATATTTTTTCTAATATTTCTGCAAATAATAATCACATCAGTATAATATTTCTTTTCTATCTAGTCATTCTGGTTTAATGTCTTCTTAAAGTATTTCCTCTTTGTTTTACTTTCTGTAATTTGGAAGAAAGGCTGGCTCTCTGAGAGACTATTTTCTTTGTCTGGCTGTTTTGAAAGACCTCTTTTCAACTGTAAATTGATTGTATCCAAAAGTGATTAAGAAAGTGAGGCTTTGGTCAAATTTAATGTCCTTTAGCATTGTATGTGCAAGCGCAATGTGTGTGTAAATGTGCCCTTTCTCCCTCGTCCCCCCAACACTCTACTCATGAGACGACCATAAGACTTCCATCCCGCAAATCTCACAAGAAACTGCAATTCGGGATGCAGGTGGATGATCTCCCAGTCAGAAAACACCTTTGTTAGCTATGGCTTCTGTTCACTTTGCAGTGCTGTCTTTGCTACTTCAGACACATCTAGTTCACCATAGAACCTCATCTGGAAGTTCGCCAGCTATGCTTTATAATAAATTACTAAGTGAAAAATATGATCAAGCTGTCCAGGATATTTTACGTCAAAAGTTCATCTATACTGAAACCATTCCAGTCTTGCAGAAGATAGTAGCAATACTCTTTATGTAAAAAGTTGAACAACAGGAAGTAACTTTGATATAGATTATAGTGTCAATGTGTTCATAGCAAATTGTAAGGCTAAACTAAATATTCTATTAAATAAAAATAACCTTATCAGCTAATGAATTCATTGATATGGAGAGTAGATTTTTCATCTTCTCTTTGGTAGGCAAGAGAGAGAGATACTTTCCTGGTCAAGTGCAGGACAAGGATTAAACTCTCCTATTATTGATTGAATTTTATTTGCTACCCATTTGTAACAAAACAACTCTGGGCAGTTTCTATAGCATTAAAACATTAAAAGCCTAACAAATAAATATCTCTAAAATAATAATCCTATAATATTGAACTCCTTTGTGATTGCTATTTACAGTTATAAAATGATTGATACTCATTAATATCTTGTCCTATTTGCATTTAATATAAAATTAATTAATTAATTAATTAATTAATCCGTATTGACCTCTTGTATTGTGCCGGTATTCCAAATACAGCTGCATCATACATACATGAACCCAAAATAATTTGCAAGTTATATATTTTGTCTTTAATTTTTAAAACTTTTACATGGAATTTCACTTCTACAGTCTTCATTATTGTGTTGATAATTTATTTAGTTTAGGGATAGTTTATTTAGTTTTCACTTTTCTGAACTGCTCATCTCTCTCAAAGAGATTATAGTTAGAAAATACTTTATTTTTATGTTTACTGTACTGACATTCAATCTCTGCAATTCTGTTACGCATTTGTCTGAAGCGTAGAGCTCCTTTTGTAGATGGTTATGAGAATAGTTTAGGGACTTCCTAAAATTTATAAGTTTTGCTGACTTGCTATTCCTTTTACCTGCTGAAGGGCTGCAAATCTCCCAACAAGTTTGTTTGGATGTGGATAACAAATTACAGAATGTCTGTCCTTTCTCTAGAATCGAAGGACTGTGGCTCCTTCTAAAATTGAAGCTCCTGCTAGAGACAACAGAGGTAAGTTAGTTTGCATATTTTTTTATTTAATTCCAGGTTAATTGTCCAGCTCTAAAAAAAAATAATCTGTCTGCCTTACTCTTCTGTAAAACTTTGCATGCGAATTTTATTTTCCGTTCCAAGTAATACAATGTAATACATTCCAAGTAATACAGATCCTAATATAATTATAGTTAGTTAGCTGGTTTTTGGTACTTTCCTGGACAGTTTCTGAGGTCATGGAGTGGTAGGCATTGTATTGCAGTGATGGTCTGGTTCCAGTTGGTGTAAAGGGGAGAAGTTGAGCTGAGACCTCTATGGTATTTCACGTGATGTTTTCCCATCTTCTACTTAACATGCACACAAGGATGTTGGAGATTGATTTATTGATATGAGATCAGTTATCAATATGCTGATGTAACCCAATTTTATATTTCCACCCCTAATCAAACAGATGAGGCAGTCTTGTCCTGATTGTCAAAAGTTTATAGGATCTGGATGCACAGAATAAAGCTAGACAAGATCCCAAATTGAGTGATTTTGGTTTTTAGGAAACCATCTGACTCCAGAGGGATTTGCTCTAAGTTCTGGACATTTTCTGAGTAGAAGGTACTACTTAGTCACTCATGCATTGGTCACCTCTTGTTTGGACTGTTGCAATCTATACTACCTGCATTCGAAGACCACTTGGAAACTACAGGTAGTCCTAGACTTATGACTATTTATTTAAAAACTATGCAAAGTTACAATAGCCTTGAAAAAGGTGCTTTATGGCTCGTAAAGCCCTTTTAGCTGCCACAAAACATCATGGCCTCCCCTGCAATCATGTGAATGGGATTTGGGAGCTTGGCAACCTGTTCGCACTTACAGCTGGTTGCCAAGCCCTCTGCGATCACGTGATTGCCAATTGTAATTTTCTCTGCAGGTTTCCCCAGAAAATCAATGGAGAAGACAACAGGGAAGATTGCAGGCTATTGCCACCTGCTGAGAGACTCCCTCTCATTTTATGGGAGAAAGAACTGCTGGCTAAGGGGAACTGAACTCCTCTGGCATGGTGCAGAAACATAGCTCAGATCCTGAAAATCTGGGCCTGATCCTGTAGTCACATGATGTCTTGCTTAACATCATTTTGCCCAACTATTGAAATTCTTGACTCAATTGTGGGTCTAAGTTGAGCACTACATGTACAGCTCCCAAAGATGCTTTTTCATGAGGCAACTGGACTTTCTTGTTTTTCTTTGAAGACATTTCGCTTCTCATTAAGAAGCTTCTTGGATGAGAAGCAAAACGTCTTCAAAGAAAAACAAGAAAGTCCAGATGCCTTGTGAAAAAGCATCTTCGCGATAACTATGACCTGGATGACTGAGAATCTCTATAGATACCTGTAGAGTTAATTTAGAATGCAGTAGTTAGAGTAGCTGTGTGTTTGTCATAATTTCCCCACATAACATTACTTCAACAGCCCTAGTTTGCTTCTAGATGTAATTCAAGGTGCTAGATATCATCTTTAAAATCTGTGTCGCTTGGGGACTGCTGACATTTGGTTATATCTGCTGTTAGATAAGATAAGGCTCACTCTTCATTTCAGGACCTTCAATTGATATTCTCATTCTCATATTCTCTCTCTCTCTCTCTCTCTCTCACTCACACACACACACACAGACACACACACACACACACACACACACACTCTTCAGCCTCTCCAGGCTTACTGGGCTTCAAAACATTAAAACCTGGCTTTTCTAGCAAGCCTTGGGAACAGCTGGTCCCTCTTAGGATATTCTCTTTGAATGTGTTCATTTGTGGCATACAATTGTGAGTTGTTTGTTACTTGCTGGTTTTTATGCTTTTTTTTTAAAAAAAATCTTTTTTATAATAGGATAAGTAAGCTGCACAGAAACAGTTATAATTGGAGTAGACTATAAGTCGAGCAATGAATACTTATTTATTTTTAGAAGTCTCTTGAACAGTTTCAGGAGCACAAGTGGTTTGAGTGAGGGAGGATCTGAAGATCTGGAATGAAAATTTTTATGTAGTACATTCCTGCTTATGATTCTTGCATTTTCCCCCATCTCTATCAGAGGATTAATACTCCTCTGCTTCATTGTTTGGCTGATCACCTCCCATTACTGGTATGAATATTTTTATTGGAATAAGGTGTGTGACTTCCGTAATCTGTAATGCATGAGCTAATATGTAAACAATGGGGCCTAACTGGTTCTTATGGAACATATGAGTAATCTACCATTACATCTTATCTATAACTTTTTAAAGTTATAATGGTGTAATTTGTTTTTGTTGATCGTATTATCACAAGAGAAGATCCACCAGAATAAGTCTACTGGCCCTGAAACTTAAGAGTTCTTATGCAGTTCTGCCAGAGTGACACATGAATTTTACTTCTTACATAAATATTGATAATCATTTGTGAAAGATTAATTCAACTACTGATTTGTTATGTAACCTATTCTTATGTTTTAATTTGTCGCCAAGAAGTATGCTGATTTTTCCCAACTATAATTTGCTTCATGTTTAAACAGTATCAGATTTAATAAAGCAGTATAATTATCATTAATAAGTCACTGAATTATGAAACACTTACACTTATTTCTTTTCCATTTGCGTCATTTTCTTAGTAAATCTTTTTTATAAACACTTTATTTTGATCTTTTCAGTGATTGGTTCTGCACGTGCACGACCTACTCAGCTTCCTGAACAGTCGTCATCTACACAACAGAATGGTAGTGTTTCAGATATATCTCCAGTTCAAGCTGCAAAAAAGGAATTTGGACCCCCTTGTATGTAAACTATGTATCAAGGACTCATTTATTTTAGGCATTACATGTAGACTCTCTTGGATGATTATATAATGCTTAAATAGAGATTTAACTATACCATTATTATATCTTGTAATACGTCATTGTGATTATTTTTCAATAGTCCTGTAAGAATAGACTAAAAATTCTGTTCTAACTAACAGCTGATTTTAAAATCAGCCAGATCTTATATTAGGACAAACCAAGAGAGTAACATGTATTAGTCAGTGACTGTTTCTGTGTTGTCACTTTTCATTTTCCGTTTCCTGCTGGCCTAGGTAAAACAGGTAGACACGCTACCTTCAAGCTGAACTAGCCGTTTAGGTGAGACCTCTAAGTCAAGTAGTCTTAATAGAAGAGAATTCAAGTAGTCTTCCTTGTGGGAAGTGGGGGGCTCTGCTCTCCTTGTTAAGCGGTCATGCTATCCTCTCTTGTTCCTCCAGGACCAGCAAGAATGATTATGACAAAAACAGTATAAAATAAGTATTGAAAACATTTCACTGGAGAGTCCCCTGTTCCTTAGCTAGGCCAACAGATTTGCAAATAAAAATTTATGCTGTATTTGTTAACTATTATGTAACATGCCCATGATAAGATAACTGCTTAATATTACAAAATAAGGGAAGAGAATGGGACTGTGAAAAAAGCACTGGTTAAAGGATTATTTTCAGCCAGGATTGGTTAAGAAAAAAAAATCTCTCTCTGGCCTATGTTAAAGTTCTGTCGCTGGGAGAGCAGCCAGCAGAATTTGCTAGTTTGCAGGTGGTATACAAACTGTGGTGCAGCTGAGTAGCAACCAGATTATATTACTGGCCGGCTATGTGAACATAGCAATTTCTTCATACCATCTCCCACAACTCAAAATGGTTATTTAGAAGATAGTTATATATTAGGAATTTTTAAACCCATTTATATTGAATTAAATTAACATGGACAGTTCTCAGTCTTACTAACTAAAAAACTGAACACTTGAAATACATTGTCTGACAAAAGTTGTCTTTCTTTTTTAAGCACGTAGAAAATCAAATTGTGTGAAAGAAGTTGAAAAATTGCAAGAAAAGCGTGAAAGACGAAGATTACAGCAACAGGAAATTAGAGAGAAACGAGCACAGGTTTTAATTTTTTCATTAATAGTACTTCTGTGTACAGTTCATATTTTTCTAAACATTTAAAAAAAATGCTTTGAATTAAATCCTCTCCAGAATCTTTTTATTCTGTTCCAAGCAGTTTCCATATTCTCTTTTTCACATCATTTTCCATTCCCCTTATTGGGAGGTTAATCTATTTTATAATGCATCTTAATGCAAGAGTCGTACTTCTTGCCATAGTAATTTTTAACTTTTGTCCTTCTATGGCTATATTTTAGTAGATCAGTTTTGACTACCATAAAACAGTCTGTCCCGCATTCACTCTTATAAGCTTCATTAATTTCTCTGTCTTTATCAGTAATTATGATAGTAGTCATACCATTCTTAAATTACTTAATGGTCCTCTATGTTATTCCCACCCATCCCTCATCTCCCTTAGCAGAATAATATGGATCTTATTCATTCAGAATATTAGACATTTTTTCCTAAAATTTTCCAATTGATTATAAATTTCTGTAATGATCATTAATTAGAGAATAATATGCAACTATCAACCACCTATGAATTCCTAGTTCAATATGCATTTATATCAGGAGTCTTCAAACTTGGCCCTTTGATTACTTGTGGACTTAACTCCCAGAATTCCTCAGCCAGCGTGCCTGGCTGAGGAATTCTGGGAGTTGAAGTCCACAAGTCATGAAAGGGCCAAGTTTGAAGACCCCTGATCTATATCATTCTAGATTACACCTATTCATACTAATATGTACTAGCCCTTAATTCTTTCATAATTGTCAGACACAAGCATCCAGAACCATTCATGAACGATCTCAAGCAGAAGTTTCATTATTAGTCAGCCATGATATAAGAATCTCACCAGACTGAACACATTCCTTTGGGATTGGTCAGATAAGGCTTTAGGGATTGTGGGGGAGGTCAGACTTGCAACTTCCTGCAGTGCAAGGACTCTAAGCCAGGCCATCTTTTAACACCTCCCTCCAGTCTAGCTGGAGGTTCCATCCCGATAATTAAATCTTCCCAGCATGTACTCATCAAAATCAGGCTATCTTTGTTCAGATCTATCATAGCCTTCCTCTTTCTGTTAGTTGTACGGAAATTCAACATAGTTGTTTTCTTGCTGTCATTTCACTGTTAAACCATAATTTTAAACATTTTATTCTTTTTCCATTTACTGTGGTCATCATTGTATGGGTTGATAGATAGTGAAGATAATGACTTTTGTTGTTCATCGTGACTTTTTTTATAAAGCTTTTTATTAAAATAAAGAAGGAATAGCAAAGATAATCAGGCTTAGTCCAATCCAAGCACTATTTTCCCTGACAATAATGATGACACCGTTGATCAGTATAATAAAAAATAAATGCTAATAATTTTGCAGTTGTAGCCAAGATGAGCTTTAGCATGCTCCTGTCGTTCGATGCAAGCCAGGATCTCAAGATAGTCTGATAAAGAGGGTTATTTGCAGACCAAATATTTTTATTATTTCCAATATCTCATAATGCAGTGAAGTGATTGATTCTTTAGGAGTTGAATTCAAAACTTCCTTGGCTGGTTTTTGAAAAGTCTTTATGATATAAATTCAGGGTTTTAATGTTGATGACTTTTATACTTTAAATTTTAATTATTGCTGTATAGTTTTATTAACTATTTAGAGCAGGGGTCCCCAACCCCCAGTCCGTGGAACGACACTGGATCGCGGCATGCCAGAAAGCGGGCAGCGCAAACAAGTGAAATCCTATTCGCCAGATGCAGGCAGCACACGAAACCATGCCCCCTCTGGTCCAGGAAACTGGTCCCTGGTGCCCAAAAGGTTGGGGGCTGCTGATTTAGAGCAATGCTTCCCAAACACTTTGTTTCATTACCCAAACCACTTATGAGAAATTCCTTTTTACCCAATGTAGGTAAAAAACTTTAAGGCAATTTAAATATCCCTGGTGTGTTTGGGTAATATGTTTATGTGTTATTATCCCAAAAAAGGGCCACTTATACCCAATTTTAGATAACTTAGGTTTAGGAAGCACTAGTTTAGAGGCTTTAAAAGTTTACAGTGTAATAAATTTGATAATAAAATAAATAGCAATATTTCAGATGCTTGTTTGATCTGAAGATCCATAATCATTCCTTCATTTCACCAAATGATTGAATGTGGGTGGGGAAATGCTACATAACCACCAGGTTCATGAAGTCAAAAAGCTTTTTGGTCACTGGCACTTTTTTTATGAAAAACTGCATTTTTCATTCCCCAGTATTGTTAATACCTAATCTGGCATAGTTGCCATTTAATAAAGCCGTTGTAATTTGTCTTTTCCAGGAAACTTTGGGGATCTGAGTTGACAGTAGGGGTTTCCTCACTCCCACAAAGAATAATCAATTTTTTGAGATATGATTGTTCCTCAGTGTGAGATGAAATATATGATATGAAATGTATATTGTTACGTTATGCTTATGGTACTACATTCTAACATTTTACTACATTGGAATGTATGCTGCTTAGGGTAGGTTTTGCCAGAATCACTTAGGTGGGATCATCATCATTCTAGCCATTGTCTATTCCAACCAATACGGTCTTGAGCTTTCCTTTGCCAGTTGGGCCTGCAATACTTGCTGATGTTGTCTCTTTTGTGGACGCTTTTTATCAAGTGGAATCCATTCTATGACTGCCTTAGCCCACCTGCCATCAGTTCTTCTTGCTATGTGACCAGCCCATTTCCATTTTAATTCTTTTACTCTTTTGATGGCATTGTATATTTTCGTTTGTTCTCTAATCTATGTGCAGGTCTTTCTATCTTGTCTTATGATGCCGAGCATGTATTTTTCCATGGCTCTTTGTGCCGTAGCTTTCGTATTGATTGTGAGATTAGTCATAATCCCATGTTTTGCTGGCATGTGTTAGAGCAGGTAGCACACATGAAGTGGGATAGATGTTGTAAAAATGTGGTGACTGAATGAATATATAAATAAAAATAAAGCCTGACCAATAAATTTTATTATTCCTACAGTAGTGGCCAAAATTGTGGAAACCTTTTGGGAAAAGTGTATTTTTGAGGTTTGATGGCTAATAACACCACTTTTTTTGGGAGTAGTACCATAAAATTATATATCAATGGAAAGATAATTTAATCAAGAATGTAATGCAACAAAGATTGTTCAATTATCTGTACTGTATTCTATGAAAAGTTATAGCCAAATAACCAGAAAAAGGAAGCACAATTTGCTTAGGTTGATATCAGATAGCTTTCCTTCATCTGATTGTAGCCAATGAGCATGAGTGTTTAGAGAGCCAATCAGGTGTCATCTTGTCTTAGGTTGATATCAGGTAGCTTTCCTTCATCTGATTGTAGCCAATGAGCATGAGTGTTTAGAGAGCCAATCAGGTGTCATCTTGTTTTGGCAATGAGCCAATCAGATCACGGTAGGATTCAGTTATTGATGTCATGTACTGAAGCTGAGAGGAGGACATTTGTCAGTGTGTTATGTGGTCGCTATCAAGTTGGTTGGGGTTTTTTGTGTTCTTTCATTTAGTGAGCTTGTAAAACATAATAAAATTAAAGTAATGGTGCAAAGAGTTGACTGGTCGCCCAGAAAGCGATGTAAAATAGTATTATTAAGTGAAGAAGGCTATAGTTATAAAGAAATTAGAAGAAAAATTGGTGGAAACTTAACCAAAGGTGGCATTTCTACTGTACACTTTTCCCAAAAGGTTTCCACAATTTTGGCCACTACTGTACACTCTTTCCAGAGTAATAATAGGTAACCATATGCACAACATGGAGCTATCCACTTGCATCATTACCCCATCTACTGCCAAAAATGTTGATTGCAACAGGCACCAAAAGTTTGTTCATTTTGCATTACACATTATTAAACATATATTTGAATTGCGAATTGGATCTAATTTCTCATATAAAAATTTGAGAAGAAAAATGGATATTTACAAGCCTATTATCTCCAGGATTCTCTTGTAATATTTATCATAATTATTTGTTACAGTGGCATGAACAATATGCTTTTAGTAATAATTTTTTTCTCTTAGGATGTAGATGCCACAAATCCAAATTATGAAATCATGTATATGATCAAAGATTTCAGAGGAAGTTTGGATTATAGACCACTAACAACTGCAGATCCTGTAAGTTTTGTTATTATGTAATCATTAAAAGAAGTTTTACATACATGTTGAATAATAATAATAATATGGTCAACAGGGAATAAGTTGTGAAATTGGAATAGTATTTAAACAAATGTTCACTTTTAGTGATTTCTTTCCTAACAAATCTGAGAACTGAATCTTAAATAATAAACTTTAACATTTCATTTCAAAGAGATAATTCATGTTATTATTATTTTTTACTGTTTGAGAGTTTTCTTCAATTGACTTCTTTAAGAAAATTTGCAGTAATGTTTTGCCCTTAACTCTGAAATTAACTTTACGCTTAAGTTATTAGAAAGTTTTACCTTTCTTCAATTCACACACATCTAGGTTTAGGAACCAGTTCAGATATTACTTTAAGATGTTTTTGTGTCTCGTTGGTGTTTACCTGCTATGAGGGGGGAATTGGCAAATCTCAGCCATGGGAACCTGTGCTTACAGAAGAGCTTAACTGTACATTTGAGATTAGGATAATTAAATAGAGAATATAAAATCATGTCTCTCTTAAGAAATGTTTCTGTATTAGAGATAAAACTAACTTATCACATCTTTGTTTTGGAGCTGTAGTTTTTACAGCAATATGAATAATAAAATATGTCACTCATTCACCATTGTTGGATCAGGTATTCAAATTGTCCAAAAGAATCAGCCTAAACCACATGGAATGTTTTACCTTGAAAACCTATAGGAACCTGTAACTAATTTAAACATATTTCACTGTGGAATGTTATGTATACATAACAATGATTTTTAGATCATCGGTATTTTTAAAAGTAGACAATTATATAACCTTATATACGATTGCTTGAATATCTTTCTCTTTGAGTTTTAATTTCAGGTACAGTTTTGACTTACTCATTTCATTTCCATTTTGTTTCTTTTTTTGTAAAACAAAAAGATTGATGAGCACAGGATATGTGTATGTGTTCGAAAACGACCACTCAATAAAAAAGGTATGGCTCATTTTAACATATAGATTTTAAATGGGATCATAAGATAGTTTTCAAATGTGTATAATTTTGAATCCATATACACAGCTGAACTTTTATTTTAGAACGTGTAAATAAGTTTTAAGTTGTTACATTTTAAGTTTCTTCTTTCAACCCAGCCTTTTTGAAGTGTAAATAGTTAAAATTAGTTTAGAGATGAGGTAATCAAAATTTTATAGAATCAGAATGTAATAATTGTAGCCATAGAAATGCATTTGGTCAATTTTTTAAAGTTAATGAAAATATACATTTGAAATCTGAAACTGGTAACTGGACTTTTTTTTATTTGCCCACCATATTAGAACGAGAAAGAACATATCTTAGATCTCAGATAAGTGATGGGGTAGCTCAAATTGTAATCTGTAGAAAAGCTGAATTATGGTATTAGAAAATGGAAATTATTTTGGAATTGTTTATATTGTGAAATGAAAAAAATGTTTTTTAAGAAAGGAGAAATTTGAAGGTGGGAGGGAAAATTTTTTGTTAATAGCCTTATAAGAAAACAAGTTTTATTAACTCTTTTAAAATTGTAATCAAAATAGATGACAAACTAAAATTGTATTTACTGTACCTGAAACTTTTGAATCTAAGCTACTAATAACAGAGAATATGTTTTGCTGGTTTATCAGTTCTGGAATGTGTATGTATGAACAAGTTAATGGGCTGTGCTTTTGAAGGATTTTGGACTGGGTTTAGGAAACTTTTATTGGTTAAATATAGAAATGCTTATTCTGTAACAAGTTGTATAGAGTTCAATGGCTATTTTGCCAGGAAAATATACTTAGAACTTTAGTCTGTCCATTGAACAGCAGCACACTGTGTACACAATTATTAGGCAAGTTGTATTTTGGAGGATTAATTTTCTTTTTTTTTTTTTAACAAATTTTATTGGTTTTTTAGTTTCTTAAAACAACATATTCAGGACACACCGTGGTGCTGGGGTAATCAAACATCCTAAAACAAAACATATATACATAATACAATCAACACATCAAGTATTCCCTCTCTTTTTCCCTCAAATAGCATAGTATATTTAAAATATCCAATTTTAGCTTAAATTTATTCAATCTGAACCTGTTTTTAAGCTTCATTAATTTACAATACCATAATCAAATTAACTTTAATTAAAAACATTTTTAATTCAAATATCCCTTCCACGTATGTTCTACTTTCTTAATTTTATCATGATCTTATTTACTTCTTCTTCCATTAATCTCCCTTATTTGGAGTAAAATATTAATCCAGAGGATTAATTTTCTTATTGAACAACTACAGTGCTCTCGGTCTATCCAAAATGTTAATAAACCTCAAATCTGAATATTTAAGAAAGTAAAAGTGATGTTTTGGCTTTCTTAGGAGAATAGCTATGTGTGCACAATTATTGGGCAATTATTAGTCTGTAGAATTATGCAATTAAATGAAAAACAAAAATTTGCCATCTCACTCATTTATTTGCATCTGTTAAAGTGAGAATAATAAACAAACAACTCAAAATGTACAAATAAACATTTCTGACATTTCACACAAAAAAAATCAGTGATCGATATAGCCACCTTTCTTTTCAATAACAGTCATAAGCCTTCCATTCATGGAGTCGTGTCAGTTTCTCGATCTGTTGATGATCAACGTTTTGTACAGCAGCAACCACAACCTCCCAGACACTATTTAGAGAGATGTACTGTTTTCCTTCATCATAAATCTCCCGTTTAAGAAGGGCCCACAAGTTTTCAATAGGGTTTTGGTCAGGTGAAGAAGGGGGCCATGTCATTATTCTTTCATCTTTAAGGCCTTTACTGGCTAGCCACGCAATGGAGTACTTTGATGCATGCAATAGAGCATTGGCCTGCATACAAATCATGGTCTTCTTGAAAAATGCAGACTTTTTCCTGTACCACTGCTTGAAAAAGGGTCTTCTAAAAATTGGCAGTAGGTTTGGAGTTGATTTTGAGTCCATCTTCAACCCCAAAAGGTCCAACTAGTTCATTTTTAATAATACCAGCCCATACCCCACCTCCACCTTGCTGGCATCTAAGTTGAAGTGGATCTCTGTGCCCATTACCGATCCAGCCACAGGCCCATCCATCTGGTCCATCAAGAGTCACTCATCTCATCAGTCCACAAAACCTTTGAAAAAATCTGTCTTCAGATATTTCTTGGCCCAGTCTTGCCATTTCAACTTATGTGTCTTGTTCAGTGGTGGTCACGTTTCAGCCTTCCTTACCTTGGCCATGTCTCTGAGCACCTTGTACTTCTGGGCATTCCAGGTAGGTTGAAGTTATGGAATATGACTGTACTGGAGGATAATGGGTTCCTGGTAGCTTCACTTTTGATTCTTCTCAAATCTTTGGCAGTTAATCTGTGTCTTTTTTTTCTCAACATGTTTCTTGGGACCCTGCTGACTTATTTGCAACAAAACATTTGATGGTTCTATGATCACGCCCCAATAGCTTAGCAATTTCAAGAGTGCTGCATCCCTCTGAAAGACTTTTTACAATTTTTGACTTTTCAGAGTCAGTTAAATCTCTTTTTAGCCCACTTTGCCTGAGGAAAAGAAGCTGCCTAATAATTATACAAAACTTGATATAGGATGCTGATCTCCTTAGGCCATACCCTCCCTCATTACACAAATACACACCATCTGATGTGCTTATATCCACTAAGCATTCAAGTTTATACAGCTTGGAGGTGGAAAATATGCATGAAAATGATATGGTCAAAATACTCATTTGCCTAATAATTGTGCACACAATGTAATATAGGAATATGCTAGAGGTAAATGATAAATACAGTGACAATAGCAAGAGCCATCATTTCATACTGTGGGAGAAAACATTGATAAACCACTTATATTTTACCCAGTAAAATATATGTTGCTTTTAAGCACTCCAGCTGAGCTGCTACAGGCAGGAATCTCACCAGGATATGCTACTTACCATAGCTTGTGATCCTGTAGCTTGCTTGATAGCTCTTTTGCCTGCCTGCTAATTATTGTCAATCTCCAAAGGTCGCCTCCTGCTTCCCTGTCTGCTTGCTATTTTTTAAATCTCTTTTTGTTCTACACGCCCACACACACTTTGTCTTTTGTAAGCTTAAGGGCCTGGGTGGAGTGAGGCTGCCTCTGGAAGTTGGCACATCCTTGAAAATGGCATGGTGTAGCTCATTTAGCCAGGCAGCTGGAACACCAGCGCAGATGCTTGTAAGTAAATTTATGAGTGAATGAATGAATTAATGTTTGAGCCCATCTCTCAGGTTTTGGGAGCTGTAAAACTTTACAGTTCTTTGGGCAAAAGCATGAGCTGTACTAACTCTTGGAGAAGTAGGGTGAGAACTCTTTTTGTTTGGCTGCAACTGGTTTTTCCCAACAGCAGACAAAAATCCTAGTTTCACTTCCTCAAACTATCAACAGTAAAGAGTAAAGGAACTAGCAGTCAAGAAGTATACTTGGAGGGCAATGTAGCATTGAATTCTTGGAAAAGATACTTGTATGCTATAACCTGTCTGTACCAACAAGATCAGAATTGTGCAAGCGATGTTTTTCCCTTGGCACTTTATGAAAGTGAATGTTAGGACTTTGAAGAAACAGTATAGAAAAGGTATCGATACATTTGAATGTTGATGTTGGAGAAGTCTTCAAGAACACTATGGCTAGTCATGAAAACAGAAATAGATCATAAAACAAATTAACACTCGCACAAATGACTAGAATCCAATTATCATATTTTGATATGTTATGCACAGACCTGGCTCTCCTGAGAAGTCCATAATTTTGGAAAATGTGGAAGGAAAAAAGGAGGGCAGCCAGGAGCAAGGTGGATGGGCATAACTACAGCAATGATGGCTACACAGTTGGAAAACTGGAAGAGCGTGTTTGGGGACAGATCATCCAGAAGAAGATATATCTATGTGGTTTTAAGAGTCAACACTGACTTGACACAATTTTTCTTATGTTTATGCTCATGAAGTCAGTGGGATATGAATATCTGTCTTCTGCTTACTTGAGATTACATCAGTTTCCCACTCATTCATTCTCTCCATATTTGTATGTGATATATGGGATGGATTGTGATTTTGTCTCTGAAAAAATAGTGTGTGTATCAGCAGATGGACCAATTTTTCAAACGGGATATCTTTTTTTACTATGATTTTAATTAGTAGTCACTAGTTCAACTAATTTTATCTTAGTTTTTGTCGTGCCATTACCTATTTTTGGAGTATGGCCCTGTAGAGGGACAGACTGCCTGAGCAGGTGATATGCACCTATGCTTCTTCTTCCCTCTCCCTCCCTTCTTGGCGCTCCCCCATCATCAGGATGACCCAGTTGCCAATCAAACTGCAATGCTGGGCAGGAGGTGAGAAGAAGGGAAGACAAAATGGCTGCCTGCGAGGAAAAAGCTCAATAAACTGAGCCAAAGCCCAGGAGATGAATAAAGAGCAAATTGAAAGATAGATTCCCCTGATAAGAAAAGACAACAGTGAAAGCAGCAACTGAAAAAACTGGAGACCGAGAGGTGTTTATTTTTGTGACTCAAAACTGGTATGAGCTAAAAATTGTTCAAGCCAAGGAGTAAATGTTTGGAAGAAATTTAGAATTAAGAAGTCCAGTGAGGAAGAAACAAAATGAAAAGTTAAAAACTTTAACAGAATAGAAAGACAGCACTGGTTCCTAGTGGGGTTCTGGATACAATTCAAGGCATTTATTATTACCTATAAATCTACATTGTACAGGCCAAGGTTATCTGCAAGACAATCTGTCTCCAATCATATTTTTCTTGAGTGGATAATGGCTGTTTAAAAATGTTAAACAAAATGACAGTATTAATTGAGTGGCTATATAAATGATAAATGGGTTTTTTTTTAGCAAGTATTAACATATGCTTTAAATGTTTGGCATGCAACATTTAATGAAATTATTCTAAACATTCTAGAGAATGTTGCTCTAGATAAATTCGCTAAAAACCATTAGCAAAAGCTGTACATTTTATAATGATTTTATTTTAAATTTTATTTTATTTTAAATTTATTTTAAAGAGCAAGGTTTTCCCTACCGTTAGCTATTTCCTTTGGTGATATTCCTGTGTACTTAATTTGCAAATATTGACCACTAGAATTAGTTTTATTGTTTAGTAACTGTAATAAAAAACTAAACACATACATCATTTGAAATTAAACTTCAGTTGCTTCAATTTCATATAATGTCAAAAGAGCATAGTTGGAATATTTATTGTAAAACAATGTATTTTGTATGAAAGAACCTTCAGTGTGTTTAGTTTTATGCCTAGAGGAATATCTTCCCACAGAAAAGGGATATATGAATGTATTTGATGGTACAAAGCATGTTTTGTTTGCTTTTCTTTTGGTACACTGGGCTTTTTCCATGTTTTTGCTGAGCCAGACATTTCATACAGTTAACAATTGGTGTTAACTGCACTAGATTTTGATAAAATCATGAGGGATAGTTTTCATTTTCTGAAATATGTTACTGATTCATACATTGCTAAACACACTTTTTTAGAATATTGCATTATAAATGGATCAGGATCAAATTGAACTATGACTGATAATGTAGGATATATTCGCCTTCATTCGTGTGACCGATAATGTTTTAAAGATTACACTGTTCAAAAGGCATAAAGACCAGTTTGATGTAGTAGTTAAGGAATTGAATTACAAAGGTGGGGAGGGGGGGAGGCTGAGTTCTAGCACACAGAGCTAGCTGGGTGACCTTGGGCAGTCATTCTCTTTAAGTCCTAGGAAGAAAGCAGCGGCAAGCCACTTCTGAAACTTTACTAAGGAAACTGCAGAGTAGTCCAGGTAGTCACCTGGAATTAACAAAGATTTGAAGACACCCACAAACAGGCATATTAAAATATGCATGAATTTTATCAGTGAAAAATAATAAATGTAATTTACCAGAATGTAAGTTTACAAATCAATAAGAATAGGGACCAAACTATTGATAATGAATTCCACCTTACCATTGGTGTCCAGTTTTAAAGTAGAGAAGATGGTTATTTTAGACGGGGGTACATTCATCATGATGAAGTAGTTATGCAGTTTGGAATGATCCCTGGAGTAGTGTGTTGCGTGGCATGAGTGCAGGAAGGCCAGGGAAGGAGGGTGCTGGTGGGTGTGTACAAGCACAGGGAGGCAAGGGAAAGGGTGGCTCCATAAATTTGTGTGAGTGCAGGAAGGCTGGGGGAAAAAGGCCTGGGGCGCATGGCCCAAAGGAGGCTTGGGAAGGACATTGGTGGGTACATAAATATGTGATAAACTACAGTAACACAATTATAGAGTCCCAGGAAGGAAGGAGCCCATTCCAAGGAGGGGGCAACCCCAAAAACAAAATAACAGAGTTGGATTGGAAGGGACCTTGGAGGTCATCTAGTCCAACCCCCTGCTCAGGCAGGAAACCCTATACCATTTCAGACAAATGGTTGTTCAGTCTCTTCTTAAAAACTTCCAGTGTTGGAGCATTCACAACTTCTGGAGGCAGGTTGTTCCACTGATTAATTGTTCTAACTGTCAGGAAATTTCTCCTTAATTATAGGTTGCTTCTCTCCTTGATTAGTTTCCATACATTGTTTCTTGTCCTGCCTTCAGGTGCTTGGGAGAATAGCTTGACTCCCTCTTCTTTGTGGTAATCCCTTAGATATTGGAACACTGTTATCATGTCACCCCTCGTCCTTCTTTTCATTAAATAGCAGAGTCCAGAGCTGGATTCTGGAAAGGGGAAGAGATTTAGGATAGCTACTCCCTTGAATCTCCCAGACTATATCCATTATATCCAGAATAGTATAAGTTTAGTCAGGCAAGATGCTGTCTGTATGGTGTGAGCAGATAAAAAACTGGACCATATTGCATCAGTCTTGGACTAGGCCTGACAGCTTGTGAGCAAATGGGAAAAGGAAGGTGCAGTATGTATAAGTAAAGAAAGACTGGAGGAGTTGGGGAAACTTACCCAACTGACTTGAAACCTTCCCTGCTAGCTTCCCCATTGACTTGTGGGAAACCAGCAGGGAAAGTTGCAAATGGTGACTACATAATGCAAGATGCTGCAACGCGTCATAAGTACAAGCTGTTTGCTAAATGCCTCAATTTTGTTCACAAGAGCATGGAGGTACTGCAGTGGTCATAACTTCGAGGACTGGTTGTAAGTCCCTTTATTCAGTGCCATCATAATTTTGAATGGTCACTGAACAAATGGTTCTACCTTGAGGATTACTGTATGAAACTCATTCTCAGTGGTTTGTGCTCAGTGTGTTCATTTCTAAACTTAGTGCAAGGCACTGATTTGATTTTGTTTCAATCACAGACCAGTAGAACAAGGTTGGCAAACTGTTTCTCTAAAGGACCAGATCCACTTCACCTCTGCAGGTGCAGCTGGCAGGTCTGCAGACCAATATGCGTGACAGCCATTGGACGTTGCTGTCCTGCTAGCATGAAGGCTGCCACCACGATCCAGGAAAATCTGCCTCTTGCCCCAGGAATTTGATTGAGGCTTAACCCTGGCAACCTGCTGCCTGCCTGGACATTTACAGATTTGATCTTGGGGCCATAGTTTGCTGACCTCTGGATTAGAATGTAGAACTACTGAGCAAAAAAATAAAGAATTGATACCTAGGTGGTGACTATTTGGAAAAAAGCCAGGCATATTTTAGATTCAATTTTGTAAATTCCTTACAATTCATGTTTTCATTTAAACCTTGTGGTTTTTAATTATTTATATTTGTAAACAATGTATCCATTAAGTATAGTAAATAATATATTAAATTATAATTTGTAGATGTCTTTGCATAAAAGTGAAACAAATGGCAAAATGGCAGCATTGTATAATTTGTGCAAATTTTCTGCATAGTTTAATTTCTAAGGTAATTCTTATTTGGAATGAGGCTTGGCAAACATAATTTTTATCAAAAATTCACAGAATGATCTTTATATAAAAAGATACTGTAGCCAATTTCCATATGTCAAATTGTTTCATCACAAATTAATTCAGTTAATTTCACTCTCTGTCGTATGAATGTTTCAGTTGTTAATTTCAGGTATTCTGAAGATTAATGCAGTGTTTCATTTTCTCTCTAGAAACTGTTATGAAAGACCTTGATGTTATAACAATTCCAAGCAAAGATGTTGTGATGGTGCATGAACCTAAGCAAAAAGTAGATTTAACAAGGTACTTAGAAAACCAAACATTCCGATTTGATTATGCCTTTGATGACAGCGCCCCTAATGAAATGGTCTACAGGTATGTATTGTTTATGTGCACTGTAAAACCTGATGCTTTCATTTTCTGCATGTTCATGTTACTCTCCAATTTGGATATCTGACTCAATGTATTCTCATTGATATTGATATCTCTTTTCAGTATCGTCTGTTAAGCTATTATAAACTAACAGAGCAGTTGTTTGAAAGTCTGCAGAAAAGTCTGCTATATGACAAGCTGGCAAAAAGCCCTGGAAGTCACAATTAATTTTTTTAATCTTCACAATGGATGTTTTATTTCATCTAACCTTCCTTGAGTTCTGGTTCTGCAGCTAGTACAAAGAAAGCTAAAAAATGAAAGTGGTATTTTTTTTTAAAAAAAAAAGTTTTTTATTAATAAAACAGTTAAAACAAAAAAGGACATAACACGTCATTCCAGTATATATAATCCTAACAATTTGTTCCTTGTCATACATATAATTCCCAATCTCCATATATACATATTTTCCTATATAATACAGTCTCAAATTTGTTTCTCTATATACTAGCATACAGTTTTATATACCACAATCTTAACACTAACTTAAAACCCGAACAGTTCTCCTTGACTCGTACCAGTAATAAAAATTGTCCCAGATTTCAAAGTAGTCCGTTTCTGTCTGTCCTTTAATTCCATAGTAAGCCTATCCATATCAGCACGCGATAAAATTTTATATAGAATCTCTTCTTCTGTTGGAATTTCTTTTTGTTTCTCCAGTTTTGTGCGTGGGCCAATCTGGCAGCCGTGAAAATATGTAACATTAAATAAAGTACCCCTTTATCGTATTTTTGCGTGGTAATACCTAGTAAGAGGAGTTGTGGTTTTAGCTCTACCTCTGTCATTAGTATTTCTTCTAGCCATTTTTTAACCTTGCTCCAAAAGTCATAGGCTTTCGGGCATTCCCACCACATATGATAATATGTCCCTCTTGCCAAATTACATTTCCAGCACATAGGGGAAATGTTTGGGCCCATTTTAGCTAGCCTTGCGGGGGGGAAATGCCATCTATAAAACATTTTGTAAAGGTTTTCTTTGTAGGATGTGGCCAAGGTGAGCTTCCTATTTCGTGCCCATAGTTCTTGCCAGATATGCAGATCAAAGTTGAGATCAAAGTCCCTGCTCCACGTTAACATGGTTAAAATGAAAGTGGTATTGATTCCAAACTAGCAAGGAAAGTTTTAGCCAGACATTCAGTGGTACCTCGGTATTCGACTGCTTTGAAAGTCATCGAATTTGGTACTGGATGCATGATGACATGAAAATTTTGGTCCTCATGGTTTGTTTGGTACTCGAAGCGTAAGCTAGAACTTTTTTTATCCGCTGCCTCATGACTCACTGCTCTTTCCAGCCGAAACAAAGGGTCACGTATTAGTCATGTTATACATCTTGCCTATGCACATCCCCTTGTGGTCTTATCTTAGCTTTTCTGGTCATTTTGTGTATTTTTGCACTTCTAATCATGGGTCCTAAGAAAATGAGCAATGATGGCGCTGAGCAGAAAAAATTACATCGCAAATTGAGCAAAAAAAAAAAAAGAATAGACAAATGTGAGAGCGGCATTCACATTACTGATAATGCTAGGGAATAGCAAGAATCTCCACTGTCATTAAGAATAAAGAAGCGATAAAAAAGGCTGATGTTGCCAAAGAAGTTAAAGCAATATTAAAGCAGCATTCCCAAACATTCAAGGGAGTTGAAAGGCTATTATTAAATTGGGTAAACAAGAAGCAGTTAGTGGGTGACAGTGTGTCAGAAGGCATGATATGTCAAAAAGCAAAACTGTTACATGCTAAGATAATTTTAAAAAGAGGACCGGGTATCCATAGTGTCGTAAGGCATGGCGAGGCAGTGAGTGCTAATAAAAAGACTGCTGATGAAATTTGTCTGTGGATTTCATGACTACACAGAAGCTGAGGATTTTATTCCCTACCAAGTTTTTCACTGTGATGAGACCGGACTTTTTGAGAAAAAAATGATGAGTAGAACTTACATAACAAAAGAGGAGAAGGCATTAGAAGGAGAAGGCTCAAAACCAATGAAGGACAGGTTTACTCTATTATTGTGTGGGAATGCTGGTGGGGACTTCAAAATCAAACTTCTGCTATTCTATCATAATGAAAAATCATGACTTTTCAAGAAGCATAATGTCACAAAAAGCAAACTCCATGTTATGTGGAGGGCAAACAGCAAAGCTTGGATCACAAGGCAAATTTTCACTGAGTGGATAAATGAAGTGTTTGGTCACTCAGTGAAAAAATATTTGCTGGAAAAAGATTTGCCTGACAGCTCTCCTACGTTTGGATAATGTGCCTGCCACCCTCCAGGTTTGGAGGATGACTTACTGGAAGAGTTCAGCTTCATCATTGTAAGATTCCTGCCCATGGATCAGCAGGTCATTTCGAATTGTACACTAAGGTGCTTTTCCAGAAATGCTTTGAGATCATCTCTGACATCCAGTTGATCCTCACAGAATTCTGGAAGGAGCATTTCAATATCCTGCATTGCCTTAAATATTGATAACTTTATTTATGTCACTTTTTTGGCCTGAATATCAAACTCTAATATACACATACCTTAACAAATGCTAGATATTTTTTTGTATTTTAAGCTAATTTAAAAGATTTGTATAGATCAGTGATGGCGAACCTTTTAGAGACCGAGTGCCCAAACTGCAACCCAAAACCCACTTATGCATCATCGGGTGCCGGGTGGGTGTGGCCCATTGGCTGGGTGTGGCCAATTGGGGGTGTGGCCCACTGGGTGGGCGTGACTGCGGTGGTAACGGCAGACTGGGTGGGACTAAAAAGTTCAATCAATTCCAACTTTGCAAGATCTTTTTTTTCCCCCGCGAGAAGTTGAAATTGACTGCTTAATTGAACCTCTTTTTTTTGCATATGGCAGTGGAGGCCTAAAGCGAAAAGGTTTTATAAAACCTAGCTGAAGGCCTAGGACTGGGGCGGCGGCGCACGTGCCCACAGAGAGGGCTCTGAGTGCCGCCTCTGGCACCTGTGCCATAGGTTCGCCACCACTGGTATAGATGGTAGAATAAGAGTCTGTTGTATTCAGTGGTTCTTCGGTTTTTCAAAAATAATTTCTGATCATAACTGATTCTCTTAAACTCAGCTGTTGAAGTCTTGTGTAAGAATGGAAGAAGAATTGTAGCAAAGTGTGGACTGTATGGAGCTTCACGAGCTTTGAATTAAATACTAAATATAGTTGAATGTTATTTTCTTTTTTGCTGAAGGTTTACTGCAAGACCACTAGTGGAAACTATATTTGAAAGAGGAATGGCTACATGTTTTGCATATGGGCAAACAGGCAGTGGAAAAACCCATGTAAGTTTTCCTGCTAATTTCAACATTCTTTGAGTGACTCGGAGTCCTAGTGGACAGTCACTTAAATATGAGCCAGCAGTGTGCTGCAGCTGCCAAAAAAGCCAACACAGTGCTAGGCTGCATTAATAGAGGGATACAATCAAGATCACGTGAAGTGTTAATACCACTTTACAATGCCTTGGTAGGGCCACACTTGGAATACTGCATCCAATTTTGGTCACCACGATGTAAAAAAGATGTTGAGACTCTAGAAAGAGTACAGAGAAGAGCAACAAAGATGATTAGGGGACTGGAGGCTAAAGCATATAAGGAACAGTTGCTGGAATTGGGTATGTCTAGTTTAACGAAGAGAAGGACGAGGGGGGACATGATAGCAGTGTTCCAATATCTCAGGGGCTGCCACAAAGAAGAGAGAGTTGAGCAATTCTCCAAAGCACCTGAAGGCAGGACAAGAAGCAATGGATGGAAACTAACCAAAGAGAGAAGCAACCTAGAACTAAGGAGAAACTTCCTGACAGTTAGAACAATTAACCAGTGGAACAACCTGCCTCCAGAAGCTGTGAATGCTCCAACATTGGAAGTCTTTAAAAAGAGATTGGACAGTCATTTGTCTGAAATGGTATAGGGTTTCCTGCCTGAGCAGGGGGTCGGACTAGATTACCTCCAAGGTCCCTTCCAACTTTATTATTATTATTATTATTATTATTATTATTATTATTATTATTATTATTATTATTATTATTATTATTAGTGCTTTTTTCTAAAAAAAAAAAAAAAAAGGTGCACACACATCATACAACCCGCCTTGCCTATCCTACAAGGTTCCATCCAAAAAAGGTGCTGGAACTCCGTTCTGGGCGTTTTATGAGAAAAAAAGCCCTGATTATTATTATTATCCTTATAGCATCTGGCAGTAGGTTCCTCAGCTGTGAATATATCTTCTGTAGAGAGTGATCAGATACTTGTAGCTCTCCTGTATTTTCAGGGAGTTCCCATTCATATTATAATTCCTCTCTAGGATTGTTGATCTGAATTCTGATATGGAGAGTCCCTCTTCTGCTTTTGAGCTTTAGATTTCCTCATTTTCCTTGGGGCCTCAGTCAGGAATTCTCTGGGGATCACGTAACTCATCCCACAACTGTTGTGTTTGAGTGATGAGAGCAGGAATTGCCTTCAAGAGCTACTTCAGGTTAGGGAGGTCTTGTCCTAGGATCACACCAGTGTGGTAGAGATCCTTGCAGACAAAGAGGTCTACTTAGACCCTAAAGCATTCAGAGATGGGTTGCTATTAAATTAAAAACATCCGTAGTTATCTTAAATTTTATTTCATTTGGGGGGAATATTTACTTATTGGCACTATATCTTTAGAGAACAAATTCTATTATTTTACACGAGTCTGCTCAGTGAAAACGATAGTATAGTCATGCTTCTTTATAAATAAGACTGTGAATTTACATAATTGTCCCTCTAATATTTCTCGTTTTATTTTTGCCTTAGACTATGGGTGGTGACTTTTCAGGAAAGAACCAAGACTGTTCAAAAGGAATTTATGCACTTGCTGGTAAGAAATTTTAATACTACTAAGAAAATCTGTGGTTATTGTTGAAATTGCTGAAAACATGCCATCAAAATTGAAGACAAACACTAGCTGTGTATTATGGATCACTTTGGGGTGGACCTTGGACAAATCGTAGCAAATGAACATTTGTAGCAGGAGGTTTTTGTGATTTCTCCCCATTGCTACTTTCCTTTTTCCTTGAAAGTTACTGAATCATCAGTAAAATGTCTCAGCCATTCCATGACCACAGCAATCCTCTAAGGTGGTGTCTGAGAGGCTGCTGAGGCTTTTTATTGAGAGAGAGAGGGATTGATATCCCAAAGCAGCTTACATAGGACTTGCTCCATTTTTTGCCACAAGGACACTGGATTAATCCCCCAGTAAACTTTCAGAGTAAGTACAAGCCTGTATTTCCTCAACATGTTGCCCATTACTGTATTTCTTTTTCTTATAATTACTTGATTCTAGTATACAAGGTTTTCAAAATGTGACCATTTGTGGCTTATGGATATACCTGTCAATTTAAATGAATTACTAGTTATATGGGTTGCATGCTGATCTTGAATTTTAATTCTGAAAAGCTAAGCATATGTGGATCTGGTTAATAATCAGATGGATGCTCACCATATTTTATCAGAGCTACATAGACTAGACTAGAAAGTTTAAAAAAATCAGATACAGATAAAACAAAATCACTTCGTTGTGGTTTGTCATGAAAGCTATATGGACTGTAGTGTTCATCCTTTTCTTTCTCTTTCTCCATCTCTCTGTCTCATGTCCATGCCCTTTAAAAATGCTTTATTTTATACTACCTTATTACGTTTCCTCCCCAATTTTTCCTATTTCCCTAACTATTGGTAAACAAAAAGTCCTCCTGTAGTGACCACAACTGAGACTTGCAACTTGGTCATTAAGTGAAGCAGTGACTAAGTGAAATCATAACTTGCTTATGGTTTAAATTCAGCTTTGCTTTGCTTTACAGATCTGCAAAGGCCACAAATGCAGGGACTGGTCATAAAATTACTTTTTCATCACCATTATAACTGAACAGTTACTAAATAAGGCAGTTATTAAATGAGGACTACTGTACCAATACATTTTTAAACAAATAAAAGGCAATAACATTTTCAGGGAGGAAAAAGGTGATTACAGGCAATAGTAGAGATACTTTCAGTTGAGCTTAGCAGATCTTCTGAGAAAACAAGATTGCTTCTTCTACAAGGGTAGGCAACCTTGGCTCTTTTATGACTGGCTCAGGAATTCTGGGAGTTGAAGTCCACGAGTCACAAAAGAGCCAAGGTTGCCTACCCCTGTCTAACCTAAGACATGGTTTGCAGAACCGGAATTATCTGGTTTTGCACAATATGTAAAGTCAGAGCTGTGGTTTCCGAATATTTGGACTCACAAAACATTGCTAAACCAAATGCCAGTAAATCACATTATGCCCTAAAAATGAGGTATGAATGAAATATATATGTACACCTCCTAAACTGCTCTACATTTAGAGGAGCCTTTTAACTTAAAATGGAAAATAAGAGTTTTCTTCATTCAAGTGGGCTAAGACAGAGGCTTCAGTTACCTCTATATTTACAGTCACACTTTATTTACAGTCACACTTTACTCTAGTCTTTTCATTGTTTTACTAAGGCTTTAAAAATGTTTCAGTAACATTTAATGTCTCAAGATGCTAATTCATCTAGAAATGTTGGTTTTCTAGATGAATTAAATACTATAGTAATGATAATAAACACTCAATTGCATAGATTTTGATTCATTGGATATCAGCTGTAGCATATTTCACACAATAATGGATCTTTCTTGGTGAATCAACCTAAGCAATATTCATACATCTTAGGTAACATTTTACATTCATTATATACAGGATATACTACAGCTATATCTGTGTAGACAGAAAGAGAGGGGGGAAAAGTTTTTCTGTCCTCCCCCAATTCTGAAAATTGCTTTTGGATAGAGTTAAAGGTCTGTCATGAGTTAACGAAGTGGGAACATGTTTTGGGGGGAATTTTTATTAGCTTACATTGTAATTTGAAACCTTATTCCAAAATAAATGCTAATTGCAACATCCTTAATTTGGTTTTAGAATCCATGCAGAGACAAATGGGGAGGGGGGGCAAATCGGACATATAACTATATACAGAGCCCACATTTGTTTTATGCTACATGTTTATGTGAAAAGTTATTCCTTTCATTTTATTTTTCTGGAAGGGAAATAACGTTATTCCTTTCATTTTATTTTTCTGGAAGGGAAATAACCAATATCTAGTTCATCTGATTCCCTAGCTTATGATATGTGAATCAAAAAAATTAAACTCTGGTTAATAGCTCAGCAGTTCAGGACTTGTATTTGGACTTTTAAAAACAACTAAGTTATGATTCCTGGTTTAAATTATAATTTCAGATGCACATACAATGCAAGCTGGGAATTGGGTCAGATGTCACTGATGTTACAGACCTTCTTCAAGCAATTCTGAAGGAAGGGGGATGGGAGTTGGAATAGCCCAAGCCTGTTATTTATGTTCCATTCTGTTTGTGCCTTTAGCATCCAGTTCCATATTACACGTGAACTCTCTATTTGTAGATAAAGCATAACGAACACAGAAAGCGTTTTATAAATTCCAGCATTGTTTTAGCTTATCACTCAGTACAGTTAATAAATATATCCACATGTGAACTGCTGTGCATTTCTGAAGTTTTTCCGTTTCCCATTTCCTGTAATTCTAATCTATTTGCAGCTAGAGATGTCTTTTTAATGTTGAAGAAGCCAAACTATAAAAAACTGGAACTTCAAGTATATGCAACGTTTTTTGAGATTTATAGCGGAAAGGTACGTGATTTATTTCTAAAATACAAACATATATAACTTCTGAATCTTTATCTTCTGTGTTTATGCTTCTTTTCTGTTTTATATAAACAACTGTTTCAACAGACAGAACTAAATTAATACTCCAGAAATTCCCTAGCTAACATACACATCTCTTCTCCTTCCCTCCCACTCCCCCATAAGGTTTTCGACTTACTGAACAGGAAGACCAAATTAAGAGTTTTAGAAGATGGTAAACAGCAAGTCCAGGTGGTGGGATTACAGGAGCGAGAGGTTAAATGTGTTGAAGATGTACTAAAACTTATTGAGATAGGCAACAGTTGCAGGTATTCTTTTTCCCCCTCTTTCACATTATGAAGTTACAGTAGATAAGATTTAAAAAATTAAATAATTTGATTTTTTAAAAAATATATATGTATTTTCTTGGAGTACAACCTAAATGAAGTTTCAGAATTGCCTGTATTTTAGAAAAAAGTTTTTGTTCCACAGAATTTATCAACATAGATTTCTCCTCTTTGTATAGGAAGCATTTTTAATATATTCAAATTGCTGTTTTCAGATGTGTTAACAATTATTTTAAGCATTGTCCCATTTTATGTTCACATGTAAATATATTTTAAAAAATTTATAGAATTTAGAGATACTGTAGAATTTGTACTATAAATGGAAAACGTGCTAATAATGTGTCTCAACCAAAATTGTAATTGAAGAGAGGACAGCATAATTGTAATAGATATCTTTCAAATGTCTCTTACTTTGATTATTTTTAACAGTAATTATAACGGTGTTGAATACACTAATCTTGTTAATAACATTCAGTGACATTTCACTCTGTCTTTCCCACCTCTTTGTTAAAGAACATCTGGCCAAACATCAGCAAATGCTCACTCATCTCGAAGTCATGCAGTGTTTCAGATCATCCTCCGGAGGAAAGGGAAACTACATGGTAAATTTTCCCTAATTGACTTGGCTGGAAATGAAAGAGGAGCTGATACTTCCAGTGCAGATAGGCAAACCCGACTAGAAGGTGCTGAAATTAACAAGAGCCTTTTAGCACTCAAGGTAAAAGAAATGCTTGTCAGCTAAACTTGTTAGCTTTCCACCTTATATCAAATGCAAAACTTTTCAAAAACATTTGTTTATTACATTAATGGTTTAGTATAGATGATGCTTATTCCATTATAAATGCTTACATATAATAGCCACTGTATGTGGTACACGTCAACATAAGTATAAACGATACGTACTGTGAATTGATTATATTTATGTCATTTCAAGTTGTTTACTTCATTGCTAAGAATAGATACAAAGATGATGCTGGAACATCTAAACAGGTTTGATTAATTATGAAACTAATTTGGTTCCTCAGTTTATCAACTTGATAAAAGCCAGATATTTAAAATAAATATTTTAATTGGTTAGATTCAAAGATGAGCAAGCCCATCTTCTTTTCTATTGTCATTGAAGCTGGCTGAGGTTTGGCTGTCAGATTTAATTTTTTATTTATGAGATTGAATATGAGTTATTGGCATTCTTGCAAAACTAGAAAAGCTTGGTGGATGGGATAAGGTATGTATGTATGTATGTATGTATGTATGTATGTATGTATGTATGTATGTATGTATGTATGTATAGAAAGAAAAAGAAACAGTGGTAGAGATTTCCTTAACTTTTAATTTCATTTGGTAAACATTTAAATAGCAAAAGATTAATCTTGAGGAAGTGTCAGCTTTCTTTAAAAAAAGATCCTGTTTGCAGAACTGTTAACAGTGATTGCAACAGCAAATAACATGTCAAGTCTTCTTCAATTTCTGGTTCAAATGATTTTAATACTGCAGGGTGGAGTGCTCTATTGGTAACAAGGTGCAGTAGCAAATAAAAGTATATGCCCATGTCTCCATGTTGGACCAGAATCAAATGGAATTTCAGTCTTAACATTTGAATGTGAACAGTACACAATCACAATTCTATCTTTAATGTATAATTCATATTTTCTTAATTGAAAATATACTGTAATATTTTAAGAAGAACATAGAGGAATGCAGCTTGTCATCCATTATTTGTTGTTCAAGTTTGCAATTGTTTTAAAATAAATTTTGCATTGGTTCTGAAGAAAAAACATAAACATCTTTATTCTTACAGGAGTGCATCAGAGCCTTAGGCCGAAATAAACCTCATACTCCATTTAGAGCAAGTAAACTTACTCAGGTCTTAAGAGATTCATTCATTGGAGAAAATTCTCGCACCTGTATGGTACGTTAGGCATGTTGCCGAGTGTTTTCACTGCATGAAAAATCACTCTTGGGGATTGTATACAAATAAGTTATATATACCTATTGGAACTCATTAAGTTCCTGAATGGGAAGGATTTCAGCTCCTTAAACTAAAACATTGTTATTGTGTGATTTATGAAGATGTTACTGGAATATCTTTATCCTGGACAATTTTTCTGGCAGTATACCAGAAAATATACCAGTGATATATTAATGTATATTAAAAAAACCTCACTTAAGTTACAAGATAGTGCAACTTTCTTGCTCAAGTTTTTAGAAAATATAAATTTCAGTCCTTTTAACCACCTCTCCCATTGCTTCCTCTGTATGTTATAACTAAAATCTTAGCCAATTTTATCATGCATTCTTTAACTTTTTCTTCTTCTGTTTCAAATTTCAATAAAGCTTATACTATACATTTTAGCTATCACATGTTCCTCAAAACCAAGCATTCTTTTTTTTAAGTATTAATTCCAATCAATGTAAGTGTATACATTCGTTATCCTTCAAGAAAATAACTTCTGGCATCTTTTTACTCTCAGATTGCTACTATTTCTCCAGGGATGGCATCTTGTGAAAACACTCTAAATACATTAAGATATGCAAATAGGTAAGAGAAGTATTTGTTTAAAATATTTACATGAAACCTTAATTCTGGTTCTTTGCTTTCAGTATTATATTGTTAGACATATATACATCTATGTAGTTAGAAAATTCAAATTTAACATGGAAGTAAAAAAAATAAAAGTACAGATAAACTATGAAAAAAGTTTGTTTTCAATTAACAACTTTTTCAAAAGAGAAGTTTAAGACTCAATCACTTTGTGTACCTTACTAAGATGCTCCGTATATGCTGAACTATTAGCCTCTTTAAATTGAGGTTTGACTGTCTATTATAATAATGTTCTTAGGTTCTACAGATGGCAATTGTTCAGGGCTCAGAAACTAAGTAGGGAGTATCTAGTTGGAAGAGAACCGCCAGGGAATATCAGGTCTATGGACAGGTTAGAAAAGTTCAGGAAGAAGGTGATACAAAAACTTCTGAACTACTTCCCAGAAAACTACATGGACATATCTGTGAGGTCACCAGGATTGGAGCCTGACTGGAAAGAGACTTGACCTATGTTTAATATATAAATTCTAGTTTTCAGTGAAGCATGTTACAAGCATGTGTAGTTAGATAATACTGGTGGACACAATATAGGCAATCAAATCTACTATTTTTGTTTCGGTTGATGAAGTTATATAAATGAATCTATGTTCAGAGATCATTAGGGGGAGATAAGATCTTTATTCAGTTCCAGCCTTTAAGATGTTCAAGTCTCCATCCACTTCAATTTCATACTATTTTTTTTTCTCCCAGAAGTTTACCAGAGAGTTAAGTTTAGATCAATTGTGAAGTGTTTTGTGCAGTTGCAAACATGATTTTCACTGTTTTTACAAGAACACTTTCTTTTAATTTCGCTGCTGTATCTTGCTGCTGCAGAGTAAAGGAATTTGGAATTAGTCCTTCGGACATTCCCTTCTCACAGGGTAGTGGCAGTCGCTCTGATCTCTCTCCTTCCTATGAGTATGACGACTTTTCTCCTTCAATCACCAGGTCTACTTCATTCTTTACATGGAATGTTATTTTTAGTGGTTTATTTTTCTATTCTGATGTCTAATTTTACAGACATACTTCCACTTATTTTCTCCCCTGAATCATCTTTTTTTTTTTTTGGTTTTCATTCAGTTTGACAGATGGTAAAATTGCATGCAAATCATCTTCTGAATTAGCATTCACCTGTTCCAAACATTTCATACCAAAGTTTTTTTTGTTTATCAGTGTGTGTAAGAGGTGGTGATGTCATCTTTTTGTACTAGTAGTTCCTCATCTGATTAATAGATGTACAATACTGATTCATTTTATATGTGGATATTTTGTGTGTGCAGGTATGTGGGAGAGAGGTACAAAATAACTATAATTCAATGTTGTGCTTGAGTGCAATTTTCTAATTTTGTAATTAATATATTGTGATTGAGTCCTAATAATATAGGCATACATGCTCATGAAGTTGACATCACCACCGTTTATGTAAATTGTCTGTAAATTGATGAAACGATTTCCCCCCTGCTTAAATTCAGATTATATTAATTTTAAAATGAACATCTATCTTAAAAACGTAGAGTCAAGGAACTAACAGTTGACCCCACTGCTGCTGGTGACATCCGTCCCATCATGCATCACACTCCAAATCAGATTGATGACTTGGATGCACAGTGGGGTGTTGGGAGCTCACCTCAGAGGGATGATCTTAAACTACTTTGTGAACAAAATGTGAGTATCTCAGATATAGCTCTGGAAGTGCACATTTTAGTTAATTAGTTTTGATCAAATTGTTTAAACATCAAATTACAATCTTGTTTAGCATACATTCTTCCCAATCAAGCTTAGATATTTTTGAGTTTTTTATATTCCCGTTTGAGTTTTTTAAGTCTATGTACTTGTAAAAGTACATTCAAAGTTTGTCCAGTTGCCATGATTCAATGTTCTGACACCTTTGCCTGGATGACTGAGAGTCTTCATTGACTGCCAAAGTCCAAATTGTTTTTGATTAGACCTTTTGGGGTAAACTCCCCCCCCCCAATGTTCTTAAATTTGATTTTGTTCATCAGTATAAAACAAACAATTGAGTCAATAAACAATGAACACTGGAGCATTCTAGTATCTGCTATTATGATTATTTTTGTTCACCAAATCAGTCTAGCTAACATGGAAGTATTGATGGAACCAACATAAAAAGTTACCTATTCTTCAGATAGGAAGGTATGAGCAAATGAACCTGGTAGGAAATCTCCCTTAAGTTTTGAATCCTGTATTTTTAGAGAAGAGCATTAGTGCCAGATTCATGATGTAGAATCAGTCAAGGAAGGAAACAATACCAGATAACAACCAGCTGGATCCTGCAGAATTCCAGTGATAGGAAAGAAGGAATTCCCTCTCCCCATACTTTATAGCTTGTTAAGCAGGGAGTGGGTGAGAATCTCCAAAAGCATCACAGTCTCCTCTCACGTGACAACTTCATTGCTTCATTCCTCATTGTTTCTTCAGAATGTTCTTTTTCACAATTGATTCTTTTTTTTTTTACAATTAAAGTATATCAAAAATTGGACTGAATTCATTGTTGTGGAATGCAGAGACCCAGAAAAAATGGAAAGAAACTGAAACTCTTTATCATATTTTTTTCCTCTGAGGACTTCCCCCCCCCAAAATTGGAAACAAATGGTTATGTAGTATTACTCTTTCATAAATGATAATTAAGCTGTGAAATAAATTAATCTCCATATGGATATCATAGATCAATTTAAGCTCTAAGCTAACATGGGAAAGAATGGAAAAAATGTTTCATTTAAACAAATCTTTCTTTCACAAGCCCATGAAACAGATCAACGATTAAATAAGATATCAAAAGAAAAGTTGATAGTGATAGGAGTTTTAAATTAAGCAAATAGCTTAAATAGCTTTAAGCTAAATAGCTTAAATTTGGGAAATGAAGTTGATTAGACAGTTTTTCATATTGCAAAATATATGCTCTTAGTCTTCCAGAAAATGTCTGCTTTTTGATACAGTAAAGAATATTTAGACCTCTTGGTTTTAGTATAAGGGTGATTATTAATTGTTTTTCCATTTTTTTCTGTGCGCTCTAAACAGACTAAAATGAAGGCTGCATTTCTTAAGAGTTCAGCTACTTGTGGCTCCTTCTGTTTAAAACAGTGTTTTAAAAATCTTTCAAGCAATACATTTACAAATATTAACTAACATATTGCTTTTTAATGATATAGCTTAATTATACCTTTATAAACCAATCAGGCCGTACATAAGGTATTTAATTATGTTATAGATAAATATGTATCTACAATATCTTTTTTTTTCTAGGTAAAGGATTTCCCCTCTCCCCATTGCTTCAAACTTTCTGGGACTAACATCTCAAATCTTGCCTCAGAAAAATCCATTTAATTTTTTAGCATTTGATTGACTCTGGGAACATTTAAAGAAGTACAAAATTGCCGCAGTCATCTCATGATGTTCATTCTACATGCTCATTATCTGTACCACCAAGCAATGATTGACAAATTATTATAGGATAGGTTTATCATTGTATAGCTTCAGGTTGATAAAAGAGTAGTATGTTTCAAAATATATTCATCCATTTCTCTCTTCAAAATGTTCTTTCCTCTGCTTTCCATTTTGAAACACATTACAGTCGCGTTTATTGTTTCTTAAAGGAGGAAGAAGTTTCACCACAGTTATTCACTTTTCATGAAGCAGTGTCACAGATGGTGGAAATGGAAGAGCAAGTAGTAGAAGACCACAGAGCTGTCTTCCAGGTAAATGCTATATGAGAGATTGCACAATCTATCTATATAAATAAAAATGTAAATGTTCGTTTGTTCAAAATCTTAAATCTCCGAAAGTTCTTCACCGATTGCTTTGAAATTTTGACACAACGTTGCATTCGAATACGCGCGTGTTTTTATATACCTACTATTATATAGATCAGGGCTTTTCAACCTTTTCACCCATTGTACCACTTTTAGGATATGGCACTATCCGAGTACCACCAGTCGCCTAGCAAGGTGTCAAAAACTTGATGACCAAAAAAAAAAAAAAGGAAAAAAGTGATAAAATACAGGTAGTCCTCGACTTACAACAGTTCGCTTAGTGACTATTCAAAGTTACAATGGCACTGAAAAAAG